TCGACAAAGATTGGTGGCAGCTCAAGATCGCCAGAAGAGTTATGCAGATAAAGAAGACCTCTAACTTTCATTGTCGGTGATGTTGCCTTGAAAATTTAGCCCTGCCGAGGTATCATTCATTTTGGAAAGAAAGAAAACCCTGCACATATCATACCAAAGGGCTCGCTTACACCCTACACATACCATACCATAGGGCTCGCTTACACCCTGAAACCGCCGCATAGAGTCTAAATACATCCAGGTCAACCTAGGGGCTCGCTTAAACTGCTTACGCAAGACTTAACTCATTTGGTATTAACCCCATCATAATTCATGTCATGCATATGTATAAAATTGTTCTAAAACACTAAGATAAACGTCACCCATTGCCAACCCCTTATCATTTCCCGTTTATTAGATTTTTTGCTAGGTGATTTAGTCACATTCGGTAATTTGGTCAATTAAATGAGTATGGGAAAAACATACTAGAGGAAATATAGTCCATGATCATCATTCATAAGTACAGAAGTATAGTTAAGCAAGAAATAACATTAAAAAGGCCTGAAACACTTAGAGACAAATCACATAGTAGAACACAATTTCCAGCACCGGTCGGTTCTGCAGGGCTAACAAGAACGCTTTGGTAAAAATACTTCTAGGTCAAATTAGGGGCTGAAATTGCATAGAAATAATAATTAACCTGTCTAGTTTCAATTCCAATTCACAGAATGTGCATAGCACCTCCAGAAATTCATCCACAAGCTATATTCAAAAACCTGTCCAGATTTGTCACCCATTGGGAAAACTAGCGTTTCTCTCAATCTACCCGATGGTTTTCACTCAAATAAAATCTGTTGGAAAGAGGACTCAGATTTCTAAATTTTGACAAAAGAACCAACACGAGATGATTTTTCTAGAATTTTATAAAATTGCTAAAAGTAGATTGTTTTTTAGAGATTCAGGACCAGATTTTTCAACAAATTATCCAAGCCCTAAAAACACACAATTAGGGGCTAATAAAATTGTCACAAGCTCTAAACACACCAATTATCTTACAATAAATTCAGATTTGAGAAATAGACAGGTTTGATATTTCTTTTAAATATTAGAAATTGCAGCAGTGCATATTTTGAATAAAATTGTAAGACAATGTCACCAATTCACACCCACACATGCATACACACCAAAAACTCAATTTACCATTAATACATAACCCAAGGGAGTATCTGGACAATAGGATGAGATGGGTAAAGAAAAAAAAAATAAATTTGAGAAGACAAGGGAGAGGTGTATTTTTACCTTCAAGAAGTCTTTTTTTTTTTTTTTTTTCTTCTCACTTCTCTACTCCCCTTGACTTCCCTTGAGCAAACTCTCCCTCTCTCACCCTCTCCTTGAACTGATGAAAAACGTGAGTGTGGATTGGGACCAACTCTCAATTTATATAATATAGGTAGCTTAATGGCTAAGGGACTAAATATCTAGATATTTATTTATTTATTTTATTTACTTCTTTGTTGTTATCAACCCACTCTTCCACCAATATTATATATATATAAACTATGTATATATTCACGTACACAATAATATTCCATTCAAATAAGTAATTAATGAAAGAACAATAATAAAACAAATTAGAAATAAGAATAAATGTGTGAATTAATTTAGAAATTATGAGGTAAATAAATAAAACCAAGTTTTAGGATAGTTCCAATCATAAAGTGGTGTTCTATGATTTAATTATGGTAACACATGGAGAAATTAATCTTTACTTGGGCCCTTACACAGATTTTTACGGAACTAGGGTTAAAATGCTATTAACCTAAGGCTCAGGGTTTTCAAGTGTAATAAAAAAAAATTAGGGTCTCTACACTTCTAGTTTATTTTTTTTTATTTATTTTGGCGTTACATCTTATTACCGTTGTACACATTTATTTTTTATATTAAAAACATGCTTTTTCTCTTTTTCAACACAGTTTTTTTTTTTTTTTTAAATACTAAAAACATGTGTTCAGCTTAAAACTTTTTTGACGCTTTGCATTTTCTTAGAAATAGAACAATTTTTTTTTTTTATATTGAAAATTTGTTAACAAAACAATCTTATCATTTGATTACCGTTTCCTTTGAACAATTTTTTTTTTATTAAAATAGAAATCGTGTTGACAAAACACACTTTCAACATAAGAAGGTTTTATCTATTTCATATTGAAAGTTTTTTTTAAATTATTTTTAGAACACTTTCAGCATTTTATTATCGTTACTTAAAATAGAAACAAGTTTTCAAGATATATATTTTTTTAGAGTGTGTTTTTCAACATTTTTTTTTTGAATTTTTATATTTATTGTATTTGGTAAATTTTTTAAATATTTTTTTCATAAATATTTTACTTCTTAAATGTATATACATTTAAGAAGTAAAAAATTTGTTTCAATTATAAAAGACAAAAAACTAACCAAACAAGATAATTACGCCTTGACATTTGTGGGATTACACTGACCTCCCTC